ACACACATCTTTCAAACAGTTGCCCTTTCTGTTTGGAACTGTAGGAACTCAGATGCAAAGTCCCTTTTGCAGCTGCAGCAAGTACGCAGAAGCGGGAAACAAAAAAGAAAAAAAAAGACAACCAGAAAAAACCCCAAACCTTAGGAAAATACAGGAAAATACTCTGCTTCCAGCCATGCCTCCTCCCTCCAAAGCATGCTGCTCGGTTTTCCTTTCCCTTGGATGCTTCACTCCCATGGTCAGTTTAAGCCCATCATTGATGGTTGATACTGTCAGCTCAGTACCAGCAATACTAGTACCTTTTCCTCTCTCAACTTTCAAGCAGGACAGATTGAACCGATTTTTTTCCTGAGGTTCAGCTGCTTTTCTAGGCATCAGTTTTCTTTGCAACACAACAACTACAGGACCATAGAGAAAGCTGAAAGCATAAAGGAGCTGTGAGTGGGAACGACCTAACTGAGCACTGCAGTTTGAAAATTGTGGATGCAGGGGGACGGCGCAAAGGTTTGAAAACAAGCAGTAAAGGCAGATGAAACATCAGAAGATGCAAAAGAGTTAAGAAATATGTTGCAAAACAGGAAGCAATTATCACGAGCAAATGGAACAAAACACAGAAACAGAAGGAAAGAGAAGGTATACAGGCAATAGAAAGCTAGACAAGAACTGCACTCACAGCCTATCTCTAAATTCTGCCTTCTGAAATCTGTCCAAGAACGACCCTTGATCTTTGGCATCCCTTGCAATCCACGTTCCCTAAAAGGGGAACGTGAATTTTAGTTGCTTTTTTAAGTTGAAAGCCAATCTGTGCACAGCGTACCTCAGCCGCACCGCTGGAATCCCAGCTTCCTGCGCGCCAGGCTATCGCTGGCAATCACAGGGACTAAACAATCAATAGGAGAAACAACCAGCAAGCTCAAAAGTGAGCATGCATTTAGACTGTAATACATGTACGAGGAGCATGTGATTGCGATAATGTACTTCATTCTCAAAACAACAGAAAAGCAATTTCATGAATTGTGGGAACAACATTCACATTTTTATCTGCAGAAAAACGAGAAGTGCTTTGCACTAAGTAGTTTTTTTTTTTTTAAATAAATGAATGGAGTCCATAGTCCTAAAAATAGAGCACAGACTCTAACCCTCTTAGCTGGCTCTCAAGAATGCTGCTGGATGCTACTGGAGCTCACTGAAAAGACCAGTGTCTCACCAGTCACCAAGGCACGCACACGGTATCTAGCGAGAGCACTACATCCATCTTTTGCACCCTCAGCCTGCAAATCCTCATTTGCCTAGTATGCCAGTGGACAGTTTCTGTGAGCAAATATAAGCACTCCCATCAACAGAAAAATGAGTAGTGAGATTCAGTATAATGTAAGATTTTTAGAACTTTTTGCATTTCATCTCATACAAAACAAAAAGTATTTTTTCTTCTGCAGATACAGAAACAAGCCTGAACTGCTGACTAAACAGCTTATTTGTAAACATATTACAGAAAGAGTAAATAACCACCATCTAGAAGTGCAAATACATTGCAGTCTAAATCTAGGTTTTTTTTTTTTTTTTTTTAAATCACTGACCAGATGACAGCAGGGTATATCATGTTTTTCCTCTCCCCCTCAACAATCTTACTTATCTAATAAACATTTTTGTTCTTTTGTTCTTTGATTAGTGTGCAAGGTTTTAATTAAGGGTGTTATAACCATGAACAATATATAGTATATGAATGCACATAGTGTATATGGAGTATACCAGCTAATGATTGCATTGATATAGGGCCCATAATTTCAGCCATTCCCACTGTACAAGAAATCATACAAAATATATATATGGGAAGAAACAGTCTCAATTTGGCCAATTTACTCCAAGGCTTTACCCCTTTAATGAATTCAGCATATATCCTACATTCTTAGGACATATGAGGGAGTGAAAGAGGAACTCTGTATTATTGAGAACTTCTTACAATTCAGTCAACGCATGTATGTCAAATAAAGTTTGCATGGTGCACATGTCATATTTTAATGGATTAATCACTCCATAAAAAGATACCTAATTTTCCTGAGTGCAGACTCACTTCACCGAATAGCAGCTCATTCTGACACCAGCACGCAGCAGGCGGGTGGGTTCTCACTCCCCGACGGCGAACCAAAGCACAGAGGCTCAGCGGCTGCGAGTTACACAGGGCAAGTCCATGGCAGAACTGGGAACTGAATCCAGGCAATGCAGGTTCTCATCCAGCCACACATTATCGTGGCTTCCTGTGCTACGTCCTTGCCCACGGAGGGGAAAAAAAAAAGTCTGTATGGTTGTTTTTTCTAACTACTGTAATTCAAAAATTACCTGAGAGTGAAACAAAGGAAGAATAGCACATTCTGCAAGCCTGCCCCACATGCTCAGTGGCCTAGGTGCGGGGAAATCAAAGGGGATGCTCTTTTGCAGTAGCTAAGCCACCTACGCGTGGTCACGTTTCCTGATGTGAAACATAAAATGTTGAGGAGATGCTAAAATTTTGCAAGAGTGAGCTATTTGTAAATCTGTCTCCATATAAAACAAAGTCCATAAAGCAAAAAAGTAAACAGGGTAAGAAAAGCATATAGCAACATGATTAGAACAATGCAAATACTGCATTGCAAACTAATTGTTAACTATAAACAGCTGAAAATAAAGTGTTGGGTTTTTTTTTTTTTTGTCATGTTCACTTTAATCTTCTAAGCTGTAGGAATGGGGAAAAAGGTGGTAGTGGCATTAGAATGGTGGAGCTTACCAAAACCAACTGCAGATAATTAAAGAAAACATAACCTCCTCTCCCCCTACAAAGGAGGCATGGTTTTTATTACCAGTCTGCAGTATTAGCCTCTTGCTCTTCAAACGATTGCTCTAGAGAGCATTTTTGACTAATCTGTTTATCTCCTTCTGAAAGTTTTAAAGTAAGCAAGTACCATAACTAAAAGATTAGAAAATGTTACATCCTATTTTTTTTTTTTTATAGTTAGACAAATTGCGTAAAGCAAATAAATGAGGTACTTGTTTGTCACAAAGCAAAAAGGGGGTGGGGGGACAGCGGCTTTAAGAAAAGCGTTATTGTGAAGAGCTATGAAAAGTCACTGATGGGCTAAAGGTAGAGAAAAGCAATGAGAGACTGCAGTCTCTCATACTTCATTGATTATCTGTTTACTTATTTTAATGATGAGTTTTTGAGTTGATGAGTTCCATATCTGGGAAAGAACAAACAACCAAAAAAAGGTCACTGTATTTTGACAGTTTACTTTCCAAAAAAATCCTGAAAACTGCTCTCTAGTGGCTTCCAAAAAAGACTCTCACAAAATGAAAAACAGGAAATTAGGTTCTCCGGACAACACGCTACAAGTACAAATGAAAACATTTTGCAGTGACATAAAGATTCAGTTCAGAGTTCAGGATCAAGTTTTTATTCTTGCACCCTGTCCTTAAATATCTCAGGTCCCTCCTTTAAAAGGAAACATCCAAATATGAACCAGAATACACACTGGGTTCATGTAATTCCAGGATTGTGCTATATCAATATAAACCTCTTTGCAAGAAAGTAAATGCTCCTATATTGCAATATTCTATGGATTTGAAATGTCATTACAGAAATAGTGCTATTCAGTATAACCTCCACACACACATATACACACCATGCTTTTTTAATCTTACTTCTTAAGCAAATGCCTGAGCAGGGGAACTAATGAAGCTGCCTTTCCGACTTGTTTCTGCCTGAGCGTAGTTTGCTATGGAACAAAATTATCATTCCACATTTACAGCATGATCCCCTCCCAGGCTTCATCACAACACTCCTGGTCTCCCCATACTGCAACATACAGCTTTCTGCCACAATGCCCGTCCATGTTAGCTGGGCAACAGTTGCTCCAGCCACTGGCCAGCTGGTTGGGGGGGGGGGGGGCAGTGCTGTGCTGCTGCCTCCCCTGCTACCAAGCCAGTCAGACACAGCCTATTTCCTTGCAGCTGCTAATCTATCAGAAAAAAAGCATGAAGCCAGATGTTGCCCCTGAAGCCCCCTTGGGTGGAGATCAGCAGCTTACAAAGTTACAGAGAGGACTAACAGGCAGACACGCCAAGGTAACAGCCGAACCCTCACTTCCTCAGGAAACTAAGCTAAAAATTCAGCTTTTCCCTTGCTCTCCCCCATGCCCCCAACTATGCAGTTGCAGTACTCAACAAGAACAACAAAAGTAGCATAGACGTAAGGCTTCAGGGCTATGCTATATCTATCCCACAGCAGCATCTGGATTAGTCTCATGAATGTTTCAGAAGTGTCACTGGCTTCCTGTTTAATATTCTTGTTTTATTACAGCACAAAGTCAGCCTCATGTCTAAGAGCAATATATTACTCTCACATCTTCACAGCAGATCCTTAATGAGGACATTCTACTTTCTTGACGGTCAGAGGCCTTCTCGCGGTATCAGCGGAAGATCAGCATATGCTTGAAAACACAGACTACAGAAAAGGAGAAGCCAGCTATCCCTAAGAAAACAGAACCACAGGATTAAAAAGGACCTTGAATGACCATTTAGTCTGATTCCCTGCCCAAGGCAGGATCAGCTACACTTCTGTTATTCTTTTTATTAGGCCATTTGACATAGCTAGGGGAAAACAGATATGCTTTTGGGCTCCGAATCCCTTCCTGAGCCTGAAATCTTATCGGTGTGTTGTCCTGTTCCAGGCCCTCAGCTACGTCAGTTGGTCTAATGAGAGATGTCTGCCTACAAACCCTGCCTTTCTTATATTGTCATGGTTACAACGCTGCTCTTACCACGTGTGTCCAGCCTATTTTTAAAAGCCTGCAATGACAGGAGATGTTGTTTAAAGGCTTAATCTCAGTAAGGCCTAAAATTCCTCAAATGAGTACGTATTATTTGTACAACAGAAGTGCTACACTCGGAAAGTGCAAATGGACTGTGAACTGCCTGAGGCAGGAACTCGGCATCACCTAAAAACTAGCAGGAAACCGATGGCTACAAACCTTTGAGCGCAACACAATAAACGGTCAGCATGAAAGCTAGCCAGCCTCAGCACGCTAGCAGCCTCGAGGTTTTTGGAGGCATCCCAGGAAAAGAGTATTTTCAAGGAGAGACCTAAAAGAAAACAATAAAGTAGTCTTACCAACTGGGTGGGTTAGGTCAAGAGAAAACCCTTGCTTGTTAGAAAGCAACTAGCCTGCGCTGGAGAGGCAGGCACCATGGGCGGCTGGAGGGGAACGTCGCCCTCCCTGAGCCGTGCAACAGATGAAAAGCAGAGAGCGGATGTGAAACGCTTCAGTGCTGAAGGCCGGCAGCTTGTGCTCAAGAAGGAGCCAGTAAAGGAATGCATAGGGGAGGTTACACTGTTTTAAAAAAAAAGAAAAAAAAAAAAGGGAAGGGGAAGCTAGACAAATTGCCTTTAAAAAGACATTCTGGATAGACACGATTATAATTTAAGAAGCCAGAGAAAATGATCATGCAGTAATTCAAGACATCAAATGAGTGCTTAGATGTAAATTTCTTCTGTGTAGTCTGGATAGTATAGGACATTCCTTAGAGATGTTACACAGGAAGACTCTGCTGATCTCTGTGTAAAGACGGAGAGAACTTGGAGTTGGACACATGCACATTTTGGCTTCACTGAGGGACGCTGATGTTTTCCAAGGCAACAGAGACAGGAGATAACAGGGAAAGTTGCAGGTGGAAGGAGGAAGAGATGTATCAATGGATATCTATCTAGCCATGCTGAATGAGACTTGATGACTTGGCATACACAAAGATGTCAAGAAAGACAAATTGCGATTATAGCTTGGACCAACGGAGGGAGAACTACTTTTTCCACTCCAGCCCTAAGAATCATATATATATGTACATATATATGTGTGCCTCTATGTTTCTACGGTTACATACACATATACTAAAAAAAAACCCAGTTTTGTCTGAGGATGAAAGAGTCTGAAATAAAAATTGTAGTTGGGGAAGACTATGAGAAGAAAAAGAGCACAGCCCTGCACCCCCGGCAAAAAGCAGGAGTGAGGAAAGGTCTTTCTCCATTGTTCCTTTGTCATATCATAATGGGTAACGGAGAACATGGCAGCAAACTGCTTGCCTGTTGATCCCATGGAAAGTTTATTAAGTAGTTAAAAAAGTTGTTGTTGTCACAAGGAAATAGATGACAAAAGAAAACACTGTGACATGTGGTACTTTTTAGAGCCTTTTAGAGCAGTGCTTAATCTTTCAAGAGGAACAGGCTAGGCAGACTTCAATTGCCTCTGTGGCTGACTTCTGTAGGACGCAACATGACAAACTGCTGCGCGTCCGAAAGGCAGGCATCCCACACACCCTCACTGCCACGTACCTCACAGGATATGCAAGCAACTACTGGTCCTGAAAGGCAGTCACTTGACTAATCTGACATAATATGGGGGATGTGTATGTCGGTCCAGCGCTGGAAGCAAGCTTAGTCACCTGTCAAATCTGCCAGTAAGCTGCGTGCTGGAAACAAACGGCACTTTCAGAGGAGCGCATCTGGGTCACTGCCAGCTCGCACCGCGCCTGAGAGGACCTTGGGGAAGAGCGCAGCAGGGAGCAGGCTGCGGGTCTGAGGAACGGTGCTGGCGGGTTTTATCTAGGCCACTGGATACTCTTACCCTGGAACAATAGAGGGAATTTGTGATATTGTAAGGCTGAATCGTTTGTACCCCTAAGTGAGGGGGTGGCACTGGTTTACTTTCTCCCCGCCTTCAGTTTTGCAGGTGTAACCAGGATTATAAAAGCTTAGCTAACCCCTCCTCCCTCCCCAAAATAAAACGTCGTGTAAATCACTGAGAATATAAGGCAAGAAACAGCACACACAAAGTGTTCACAAGCTCCGTTTTCCAGTCCTCTAACTAGTTGGGACTTGCACATTTAGGAAATGTCACATTTGATTTTGACCTAGAATCGAGTTCACTCAGCCTCTCTGAAATACAACATACACCATTCATGCAGCGCTCGCAGCGCAAACTCCAGCTGCAGAATGTGGGTTAGCAGCAGACGACGACATTTGAGAAGGAGCATTCAGAGCACAGCACGTGTGTGACTTGCCAGCAGTAAAAGCATTTGACTGTGAACTCGGGAAAACCTACAAATAGTACAGGCTGATGGTACAATCCCTGGAAGTACATATCCCTAACAATCCTGGGGGGGGGGAGGGGAAGAGGGGCGCAACCTTGAGAATCACAAAAAGGCAAGGCTTGACTTCTTTTTTTTTGGGGGGGGGGGAGGAGGAGGGGGAAGAAAACAAGCTAATTAATTTTCCCCTCCAAAACCACTTGCACAATCTGTGAGCAGCTGCAAAGGACAGTTGTGCAGATTTCAGCAGTATACATCAGCAGCAACGGCTAAAGGAGCCATTAAACCAATAGTTAATTTTAAAACCAAACTATATGAGCCAAAAACGTCAAGTTTTCTCTCACATATTTCCCCTTCATCTAACAGCAAAGCATCAACAGAATGTGATGTCTTGCAAAAAAAGTCTTGCAAATCCACTGGTGCTGCGGCTGGACAGCCTATTCAGAAATCCTACCTGCACACCAGCTTCCCTCCATGCGCCACGGTATTAACCACTAATGACAACCAGTTTATTTGGACAGCTGCCTGCCCTCTTGTTACACGGGTGCTCATCCACAATTTATTCCACCTCCAACCCACCTGCATGGACATACAGTTAGCAAGTACTTTGAAGCCCTTTACGCCTGGTAGGGTATGAAGAAAAGGAAGTGTATTCGACCTTCTCATACATGCATATGGGGCATGAAAACTATACAACCTCCGCAAGCAGACAGATGCATTTAAAGATGGACAGAGAGCAAGAGGGAGCATCCTTTTTCATACACACATATGGTTTATTAACTGTCTGAGCTCCAAATTGTTTCTGTTTTCCAGACAGACACCTCCGGGTCACGTCTTCCAGTTCTTTTTTTTTTTTTTTTAAAAAAAAAAAAAAAGCACACCCCACCAACAGCTAACTTATTGCTATTTGGAGCAAAAAGGGGAAGGGACATGGACTGAGCATCATGTGATCCAATGCAGAAAACAGGTTTAAATGGAAATCAGAAAATCTTTTCTTGAAGAGAGGTTTTCCAATACCAGAACTATGTAAGAGGAAGGAAATAAAAAGCTGCCATTCTTCAGACTAACAGGGGACTATTTATACCTGTAGAGTTTCTACTGCTCTAGCAGTAACAGAAGACTTTTCTTCCCCTTGGGCAAACTCCTTCTCACTCTAGGATTCACAGCACAACATTTACAAGCTTCCTAGGTTTAAAGCTGCTACAGTTTCTAAACAGGACTAACTGGAAGCATTAGCAGAGAGCAGGGTGCTGGAAGACACCCTAGTATAGTTTAAGTTTTAAACATCAGTGAGCATGGACTTTAGCAAGTTCTGCCTTACTTGCCTTGAAAATATACATATCCAGCAGTGCTTTTGCTATCAAAGCTGTAAAAAAAAACAAAAAAAAACACAAAAAAAAAAACAAAGCTGTAACAGGCCTATTTATGAAGGCTGACCACCTCACTCCGACAGCTGACTAGCTTTACTGTGCGAGTGTCAGGCTTACCTCTCACTTGGAAGGGGGAAGCGCTGATGTCCGAACAAGTGTGCACAAAGTGGCAAGGACATACAAAATATTTTGTAGGCTTGGAACAAACCCCTGTTTGTAGGGTTCATTTAGTGAAAGAATTTATGTTAACAGAGCAAGCTATTTATAGCAACTTTCCATAGAAATGAACAGTCTCTTGGTTCCTGTCCTTATGAAATGAAGCTTTCTAATCAGAGAAACCCTCCCTGTAATCTAAAAGCATGGGAGAAGGGGGGGAGGGAAGGGGAAAGGGAAGCTGCTCCCTGATGTACACCCTGCTACCTCCAATTATACCCGAGATAAGGTCTCCCTGTACTGTCAGCACAGAACTTCACTCATGGGGTGAGCCTATACACAGAGTCGCACCATTCTTCCCCGATCCATCTTGGTTAGCAAGCTGCAGTCAAAGAGCTGCCTGTGTCAGGGCTGATCATTCACAGTTTAGTGCTATGTCCGTTATAGCGATACTTGCTGGAGTAACTGAGATGGATTGCTCTTCCCAGGCTCTTCAAGCCCCCTACATTTAGTTACAAGCTTTTAGTCAACATTAAAAACAATATACCTAAAGAAGGATGCAGCTCCTTGAAAAAGCACAGTGACAAACCACTGGGGAGAGATCCCAGTCTCTCCCTAGTCAACCTTCAGAGGATCCTAAACCAGAGCATATTCACATAGCCTCACATTTCATATACTCTCTGAAACAAAAGCACAGATATACTCTAATCCTGACCATATACAGTCCCCTAGCTAGAAACTCACATCCCTCTATGCACTCCTGCTTAGGGTTCTGAAGTGTTCGCAAAAGGTCACGCAAGATCCCACCCACAGATGATGTGGACCCACACTGCACTTACCGTATCTGCATCTGTTCCAATGCCAACATATCACCTAATCCACCCCCCACTCTGGGCACGGGCATAAGTTATCCTCATTCTGAAATCAAAATGGTAATGCAGAAACTCCATCTTCAAAATCCATAATAAACTCTAGCACTGTCCTCCTTTACATTGCACTACTCTGGATTCCTGAATTCAAGCACATTTTTACAATTAATCATTCATCAACAACAAAAAACAATTTCAAAGGAGGAGCTAGTAATAAAATGTTGTACACAAATTAATTTGTGTAGAAAGTAGTAGTAAAAAAAAAAAAAAAATCATTGTCAGCATTTTCAGTTTAGGCTTCAGACTTAATTTGCTATAGAAAAGAGCAATGGACCACAGCTAAAGACGTACTTGCCCCTCCCTCTGATTTAAAGCGAGATTAAAGCCTCTCATTTTATCTAAGGTCATCCTACACTCCTCCATGCCATCAAAATTTCAGGAGGAAAAGATCACACGCCCTTCCCTTTTTGCGTAACTAGTTTTCATCTCTTGTCTATCCTAAGATTTTCCCTATTGTTTATTTTTTCTATCCATGCTCGATAAATTATTTCTACAAGCTCGCTCAGCCAAGAAACCGAGTAAACTATAAGC